CGGGGCGTCGCCGTGGCCTTGCGCCTCGGCCGCCGCGGCTCGGCTGGCTCGGCGGGGACCTGTGGGACTGGACGCCTGGGCGGCGAGTCGGCCGCCGCGAGCCGCAGTGAACAGACCGCGCGCTTCGAGACACGCCGCGAGCGCCACCGCCGTACCGGCCTACCGTGGCGAGCGCCGCTCAGAGAGCCCCGACCCCGACCGCCTCGGCGAGGTGACAGTTCGCAGGGCTCCGCGCTAACCATGGCTTCCGGGCGCCAAGGGCGGCGCGAGGTGCTGAGCGGCGAGCAGGAGCGGCGAGGGTAGGAGCAGGAGCGCCCGCCCCGGCGTGGGCGGCCCCGGCCCCCGCCCGCCCCACCCGCCCCCACCGCGCGAGAGACCGGGCCGGAGGCGGCGCCAGTGATCGCGACAGCTTCTCATAACGCGGCGCCAGCACTGCATCAGCATGGACGAGTGAGTACAGCAGTACAGCCGAGCCTCCCCGCCCGCCACGCCCGCCACGCGCCGATTGCTAAGGCGAGGCGTCCCGCCGAGAGCAGCCGGCTGTGATGAGCATGTGACTCTTTGCTGCTCATTAAAGCCCTGCATGATCGGACATGTATGCGCGCCAAGCCGTTATCTCGCGTTTACGATCTCGTCGTATTGCATATATAATTAGTCCATCAGACAAATAAGTCACGATCAATCATCAGCCTTAAGCCAGCGGTAATCATCGCTCCGAGGAGACAGCCATGAACGTTATTTTGAAGGACAAGTCGTAAGATTATCAAACATAATCCAAAATGACGTAATATACCGACATAAAAGCTTACTTTTATCTTTATGGGAGCTTCTCACTTTTGCTGTCAAAAACGGAGGTCGGGAGACCCCTTCACTGTAATCAGAAGTGTGTAACCGGCATGCACCTTTCAGTAGTGTACAACTGTATGGTGCACATTGTTGGGTTTTGGACCGGATATTTGAAAACATCAAAGTGTTTAAGTTAAACACTTTAAAGTGCCCAAAGTTTCATGGCCAAGTGTGAAGTTGAACACTTCTCAAGTGTTCAACTTTACTGTTACATTTTTTAGTATTATAAAACGTCCAGTTGGTCCAGTCAAATACTTCAAGCGAGACTTAAAGTGTGCAATAAAGTGTTGATCACTTGCTTATGATCGTCAGTTGCACACTTTATTTATCAGTTTATGAATTATCAAGGCACGTCCTGATTTGATCTGAATACTTGAAAGGTATTCAGGAAATAATTTGTACGTACATACTTGGTTCTTCAAGAATGGCCGCGTTGTCCCCATTCTTTACCTCCTGTGCACATGTAGCTTAACATGTTGGTGGACCCGGTAAAATATTCGCTTCATGCGACGGGTCGACCGGATCCACATCGTGGACCGTCGTGGACCCACAAGAAAGTTTCCTGGTAGTGCCATGGGTCCACCCTAGGGTTGTCATAACTCTCAGGGTAAAACTAGAACTTCCTTAAAAAAGACCCCTTCATGGGTAGCGGACAGTGAAAAAGTGCTACGCACGGGAAGTGTTAACTCGCGCTTACATGCAGAAATCCGCTAGAGTTCTGGTAAAACTGGTACTGTATTACGATTCTTTATTCAAAGTTAGAAAAACCTACGGGAAATGTCTACGGTGCGCTCCGCCCCATCAATTTGTCATCAGGTCCCCGACCATAATTTTGGAAAACGGTCCTCTCCGTAAGGGATGTACCGTAACTTCGCAAACTGTCTCACTAGTTCATTTCAGGAAGCTTTTTGGAGACAAGAAATGGGATACCTTCGAACTCACAACAATTGATCATTGTAGAGCAATATTGGTGCAAGTACTGTGTTACAAGGAGATGAGCTGTTTTTGAAATATTTTTTTTTCAGTTTTGAAGATTAGTACGCTACAAAATATCATCTTACAAGGGAAAAAGGGACCGGGGGGGGGGCAGTGTCTGTGAGGAGCTGCTACGTTGCTACCCTCTGACTGAACGTCAAACTACGACTGCGGAGGGGATCAAACTACGAGCGTCGTAAAGTGCATGTAAAATTTGTCGCAGTATTGCCCACCCGTCGGCTGAGCCAGGTTGAGCTGATTCTGAGCCGAGGATGACTTCGAAGAAAAAGACACCCACACGATCTCGATGACACATATTCTTTTTGAGAGCTCTGTCTCGTGGAGATGTGCTCATCGTAGGATGAATAGCATAATAACTCTCGACGCGTAGTGAAAATACCTACCTGTTGTCCACTTCAGAAAGACGTTCTCTCTGGTCCACTTCACTGATATGAGGTGATCAAAGGTTTTCGCTAATCACAGCTCAAGACAATGCCGGATTGCCAACGATGACTTTCTGGATTCTGTGCTAGTTTTTTCATCAGCTACTTATCCTAGAGTTGGACCTGAATCCCACGTTGACAGCTGACAGCTTCGCTGTCCCTGTGTGCCACGGGATCACCTGGTTCACGCTTCAATGAACAGGCTGTACACAGTTGTTGCCCAGCGCAAAGCACTTCAACATCACGTTTATTGATCTAGGATAGGGTGGTCCGTCACCGCCTTTCTTCCCGGTTATACTACACCAGATGCAGGCGAGCGGGTGGGCTTGCCTATCGTCGCTCACCAAGGCGCCTTACGGCGCCATGCGAATGTGAGATATGCCACCTCACCTCATCATCCGGTACAGTTTAACCTAGAAGAAAGAACGGCGCTGGCGGACAACTCAGTTCACACTTAATCCTAATGCATTGTATTGTGCATAAACATGCACAATTTTAAGCAGATGTAGTGTGTATATTGCTTTCACCTGACAAAACTGTCCATTACGAGGGGGCCACCACTTCGATTTAGGATGTACACAGGATTACGTGACTTCTGGGATTACACGTGAATTTCGAGGGATTACACATGCATTTTGTTGAATTTCTGGCTCTAAAACCACTAAATTCAGCCAACACGGTTAAAATTTGGTAAAGGATTACACGGAATACATAGGGATTACAATGGGATTACACGCCCATCTGTACACAGGATTACGTGAGTGGTGGCCCCCTCGGTCCATTATCCATTTTTGGATCCATGTTTTGCATACTCTGGGGTCTGCTTCAGCAACAGGCGATGGCATGACATCCGATACGCCTTTCCAGACCCGGCGTCTGTATCTGACTTCTCCCGCTTCATGCACCCCACTAAAGATCTCACGATGAACCGAGCGGAGCCGATCTCCCGCCGAAACCACAGACCGGGGGGGCACCTGTGTCGGGCGCCGTGATGGGAGCGGAAATAGATCTTGCACCCGCCAGCGTCCCTTGCTGGAGACCTGGTTATGGCCTGGTTTGCGGTGAGACTGAGACCCGGACCAGGCTGGACTACGGTTCGTATGACGAAGGGTCCCACCGACAGAGGACCGAAGTCGAACTATCCTTGACTTTCCAGCTGCTTGCCGAAACAGACTGATTCTGAAATCAATTATAGTCTGCAGTAGAGTGTCAAGTATCACGAATGTCAGGGCTCGATGGTTATCGACTGTCATCGAGGCCGCTTTACACTACCGACAGGTTCAGATCATACAACGTTTTAAGTTTTCGTATAATCGCTTTGCTCATCAGGTCAGGAGAAAAGGAAGTCTTCCTCGACATCCGCAGTGGACCACCGAGCCCTTCCTACGGCTCGCCCAAGCGGGACGTGGCCACGGGAGCGCCGTCCACTGACTTCAGCGCCAAGCTGCCGGAGGTGAGTAGTCGTGAGGCCCGCCTGCCTTAGGGGGCGGTCTATTTTAACGCATTGGCGACCGAAGTGGCGCTCGCCGCCCTTTCCCTCCGCTCGCGGCAGGCGCCTTTAGCCAGGTAGGAGTCGTCCTCTCGACACACAATACGGGCTATCGCGCGGCTTATCAGTTCGTCCCAGGGGACTGCGGTCAGTGGCGCGTGTGCGTAACTTACGGGAGAAATGGGAAAGGAAGAGGGGGTAAGGAAGAGCAGCTCGATAGTCCCCTTGGCACGTATTTGCGTGCGTGAGCGCCGTGCCCCGGCACTGGCAGTGTGCCCTCGCGGCCCAGTGCATGTGCACGTGAATGCAATTTTCACCTTCACTGTTCAGGCTGCCTCACCGACCCCTTACTTTACTTCAGCTAACTGCACCGCATTCACGAGTGTGGGCGCGTTGCCTACTCGCTAGGCAAAATACAGACCCCTCCCCCCAAAAGTATACGGGGTCTATGGGACACCCTGTAAACAACTAACAAAGCTAAATTCAAATTCGGGGGTCAGTTTCCGTTCACCGGCATTTCCCCCATATTTTTTCAAGTTTCGAGGTAGTCAGGCACACGCAAACGCCCAGGCGCCCCTCATCGCTCGCACAGGGAATTTGAAAGTAGGGCGGTGGGGGCGGGTAAAAGCGCAAACGACGGGCAGGGGAGAGAGAAGAGGGAGGCGAATGGAGGGGAGATTGCAAACAAGGCACGCACACACACACACGGCAGGAACAAGTCACCCGTGTGAGAGTGATTTTTTCTTTGAGGGGGGGGGGGGGTCAGCCCGCAGCATTCGCTTACTAATATCCTACAGCCGGCACCTTCCTTTTTGGCCGTAGAATACTAGGAAGCATAACCCAAATCCAAGCTGTCACGAACGAGCCCTGCGCTTCGCACGTTCACTAACGTCCGAAGCCATATCCGCCTTATGTTACGCAAGGCGTCATGAGGAGAGGAGAGGGGGAAATGGGCAGGGGGACTAAATCCTCCTGGGCCGACGAAACATTCGTACAAACGTGTGACACGCACTTGCCTACTCGAGCAGCTGGCGCTGGGCTGGGGGCTTGGCCGGCGGTGGCAGCGGTAGCCATCATGCGGATCTGCATGCTGTTGTCGGCAAAACTGGTTTTATACTCCAGCGGCGGACGAGGAAACTCTTGACTGTACATAACACATACACGCACACAGCGACTGAGTCACCGAACGTGCAAAGATATGCCTCATCGCAGACAAAGAGAAATGGCTCGGGACGCTGGAAAGCTACATTACCACTCTTCCATGAGAATGGCACCAACGGCCTAGTAGTAGTACTAACATCACATCGCTGGAAGTTCTTCTCCGAAAAAGTGGACAGCCAGCAAAATTACATGTTAGAAAGCCAAACGAGCTTCTCCCCTGGAAGCAGGGTACTCTAACGATGTGTTCGGCGGCGCAGGTGCTGGCGTGCTGCTCGGCCCTCTCCTTCCACTTCGCCCTGGGGCTGGTGCTGGCATACTCGGCGGTGCTGATCCCCCAGCTGGAGGCCCCCGATAGTGATCTGAAGATCACCAAGGACCAAGCGTCACTCGTCGGTGAGTTGGCACTCGTCTTGAGCGGCCAGCCGGCCCGGCCTGCCAGCGCAGCTCGCGGTGCACGTCCTGATGCGCCTGTGTCTGCAGCCAGCGTGGTGGCGCTGTCCGTGCCCGTGGGGTCGCTGGCCACGGCGCCCATCATGGAGGCGCTGGGCCGCCTGCGCACCGTGCAGCTCGCCACGCTGCCGTACATCCTGGGCTGCGCGCTCATCGCCCTGGCCAACGGCTTCCCCATGCTGCTCGCCGGCCGCTTCCTCACCGGCGTCGCCGCCGGAAGTAAGTATTGTGTACATAAAGTAAACCGGAAACGCGAGTGTGTGTGAATGTCGCTCACTTTGTAGGTGTGTGAATCACCAACCATTCACAAACTTAGGGGAGTCATAGTGTGGATTTTCCTTTGAAATGCACACACTACTTGTCACCGTATTCAGTGTATCTCTTTCTGCTGCAGCGTTCGGCACGAACCCAGCGATCGTCTACACGACGGAAGTGGCCCGGCCCGAGCTGCGGGGCTCCCTTATCTCCGTGGGGCCCTTCATGGTGTCCCTAGGTCAGTTCCACGTGCGGCCCTAATGCCTATTAGGCGCTCCCGAAATAGAGGCGACGGCCCGGCCCGGGGCCCGGCCCGGCAGGCCCGGCCTCAGCGGAGCGGAGAGCAAGCCGAGCTGAGCCGCCGAGCGCCTGGCGGATAGGCAAGCCATCCTGCGTGGCGGTGACGCGCGCAGGCCTGCTTTTGGGCCTGCCTGTCGGGCCGACTAACACCCCGGCTTGGCTCGTTCGCAGGCACGTTCGTGACGTACGTCGTGGGCGCGTACATGCCCTGGCGCACGCTGTCGTGGGCCTTCACCGCCGCGCCCGTCGCCACCGTGCTGCTCATGCTGCTGTGGACGCCCGAGAGCCCCCTGTGGTTGGCGTCCAAGGGCCGCAAGGACCAAGCCGTGCGCTCGATGCACTTCCTGGCGCGCCGAGACCCGGCCAAGGTACGCTCCGCTCACCAGTGCCGCTCCGCTCACCAGTGCCGCTCCGCGCCGCTCCGCCGTGGGGCGTCACCAGGCCGAGCCCCCTACCTTACCTGGCCCTGTGGTGTTGCAGCTGGCGAGTGCGGAGGTTGACGTGGACAAGCTGGTCCGCGGCGCGGAGGAGCGGCGGGCGGCGCAGCGCAGCGGCGTCGTCGCCTACCTGGCGACGCTCTTCTCGCAGCGCACCGGGCTGCGGCCGCTCCTCATCATCGCCGTGCTCTTCGCTCTGCAGCAGTTCGCCGGCATCTACGTGACGTTGTTCTTCGCCGTGAGCTTCTTCAAGGTTTGTACCGACAACGTTGGGTGAGTTGAGTTGTGTCGGCACCCGCCGGGGAGCGCCGTGGAGGCCGAGACGAGGTCCCTACTGGGTTGGGTACCCTGAGCGCAGTCCCGGTAGCAGCGCACCATAGCTGGCCCGGTGCAGATTAAGGTCCGGCTTTTGCCACAAATTGCCTATCGTTCTGGCCTTGGCAGCTTACGCCCGTTGATCAACCATGCCCCCAAAATCTTCGCCTAGCCTGGCGAGTTTTCGTAGGCAGTAAAATATTATAGATCACCAACAATAACGGTAATGACAAGATGCAAAAATGGTCAGGCGTATTATTTCTAAACGCAAAAGCGGGTCAAAACCATAACTACCAAATATTACATTGCACCTAAATTTTGAAGCATAACTTCTTTGAGCTGCTGCTACGAAACAGGGAATGACAACACAACCACCGCTTTTTAGGAATAATAGGAGCAGTTTAATATCTAGAAGGGTTCAAGTCCGAATTTCCTCGGAATTTCCCGTATGGTATGCGGTTATTTTAAATGGGGGGGGGTCAAGTAGCCCCGGTCTCCCTTACTGTCAGAATCGCTTTTGCTGTCCACTTGCACCCAGAACATGGTTACATTGAATTAACGGAGAATCCCTTTGATCAATGGAAATTTAACCAATGGAAAATATTATAGAATTTTTCCCCAACTTTAAGTGATTTTTCATTACCGTATGGGAATTTTTCCCTTGAATCAATGAAATTCCATTTAGTCGAGAGAAAAATCCTATCATATTGTCTTTCAATTGAATCAACGGGACAGTTCTCTACACTGTTATTTCAAAGGCGTCCCGTCAGAGTGCGACAAAGGTGTATGCTACAGAAACCAGTGCGACTTAAGTCGCAGTCTGGGCATACACCTTTGTCGCACTGCCACCATACACCTTTGTATGCATAAAATGCCGGACAGCCCCTAAGCCCCTGCGAAGCCCCCTGGGCAGGTGTTTGGCCTCCATACACCTTGTGTTGGGTAAAACAGTACACGGTTTGAGGGGGCTGTGAGCCGTGGGCTCCAGGCCCATGAAGTGCACTCCCAAGGTGTATGCAGGCCAAGCACCCGCTCAGGGGGCTTAGGGGTTGTCCGGCATTTTATGCATACAAAGGTGTATGGTGGCAGTGCGACAAAGGTGTATGCCCAGACTGCGACTTAAGTCGCACTGGTTTCTGTAGCCTACACCTTTGTCGCACTCTGACGGGACGCCTTTAAACAACAGTGTAGGTGTGGAACCCCGAGTACCGATGAGCGTTTGGGCATTCCCTCCCGGCTCGCCTTTCTCCCCATCCCTTGCCCGCAGCCCCCGGCCGCGCTCCGGGCGTGCCGCCGCCCCACACCACACGGCCGCTTGGCGGGTTGGCCTACCCAGCGTGTTTCAGGCGTTGTCATCGACGGAGCTGCACCGGACACCCTGCGTTCCCCACAGCACAACAAAAATATGCCTCGGCGCTGAGCGAACGTACGACTAGGCGAGATGGGGGGGGGGGGAGGTGGCATGGTGAGGGGGATCATCGCCTTGCTGCTGCCTCAAGTCCCCACTGCTGAGAATGGTCAGGGCTCTTTTCTTCCCGGTCGCTCCCGATATCCAGCCATATCGCCCCAGAAGCGCGACCTTGACCGGCCTCGCGCCTCGCCTCGCCCCGCGTGCTGCCGGTGCCAGTCGGGGGCGTCGCAACCCGCCCTCGAGCCCGCCGCGCCGCACGGCGAGGGGAGGCATATCAGGCGATGGGCGGGAAGCATAGTCTAGTGGAGGAGAATAATTGTCTTGCGTACCATGCACACTGCACACGATGGCGAGTAGCGCCGCGTTAGGAGTCATTCGGAAACTACGTTCCCCATTCGCCCATGCGAACACGCCAAGTTCAATCAAGTCCAGCCTGTGCAAAGCTCTAGTCTGGTAGCGCGCCTGATAGGTAGGCAGCACCTTGTCTGCAGTGCACGCGTGTACTGCGGGCTGGCCTACCCTGAATATCGCAGGCGTCGAGCGTCGAACTCCCGAAATTAACCTAACGAATCCGAGAGAGACGGACGTATGTACTTTCTGGCCGATCCCTCATATACTTGAACCTGTGACAGGACGTGCGCTCCGCCCTGGACGCCAACACGGCCAGCATGCTGGTGGGCACGATCCGCGTGGCCTGCTCCATCCAGGCCACCTTCATGATGCGGCGCTTCGGCCGGCGCCCGCTGCTCATGCTCAGCGCGGCGCTCTGCTGCGCGTCCATGGCCGTGTCGGGCTACTTCGCCAGGATCATCACGACCTCGGGTGAGTGCGCCGCGCATGGCGCCGCGTCAGCACGGCCAGGTCCAGTATGCCTAACCCCGACCAAGTTATTCACACATTCGCAACAGCAGGCGACTGGCAGCCGCTGCCTGGGAACGAGACGACCCCGGCGGGTGACGTCGTGGAGCTGGGCGCCGAGGTGCCGGCCTGGATGCGGTGGGTGCCCGTCGTCGCCATCCTGGTGTACGTGTACAGCGGCATGCTCGGGCTGCTCACCATCCCCTGGACCATGACGGCCGAGCTGTTCGCGCCGCGGGTGCGCAGCCTGGGCCAGGGCATGAGCGTGGCGCTCGCCAACGTCTTCATGTTCGGCGCCGTGCAGAGCTACAAGGACCTGGTCACGCTGCTGGGCGGCGTCTGGGCCGTGCACTGGTTCTACGCGGCCGTGTCGCTGGCGGCCGTGCTCTTCACCTACCTGTTCGTGCCCGAGACGCACCGCCGCACGCTCGCCGAGATCGAGGAGTACTTCGACACCTCGCTGCTGTACCCCGCGTACCAGCGGCGGCGGCGGCGGCAGCAGCGCGACGAGCTCGTGGTCAACCGAGCAGACGACGTGCACAGCAACGGCGTCAACGGCAACGAGGCACTCCTCGGCAAATGACATTGCGGACAATCTGCTCGTACATCTTCTGAAGTTGAATTCGTGAGTTGGAGTATGTAGCTGACTTTTAGCACTAAGGAGGCAATGACTGCAGCCACGTGAGGATGGGGGTGGGGTGCATTGGGGGAAGTGTTATTGGGATTCTCAAAGTTGTCATGTAGTTATTCAACCCCATCGATTGATTACATCTCCATATCAGCGATGTCGACTTATTTTCAACGTTCCGGGTTGTAGCTGATAATTCTCAAGAACGATTTGCAGCACGTTATAAATGATAATTAAGCTGTGATATAATGTACATAATTGTCGCATTTCGAACTGCCATATTCTTTGTGCCATTTTGTGTGTCTATGACCCTTCAGTTGACTATTTCACTCGCGGTGATCTTGGGTGACTTTCAATAGGTCCCACACGTGCTCTTCATAATCCAACAATGACTAGGAGATTTCAGAATATACTGGGTGGCCCATCCTTTATTTTGCTTATACCGTAACGGATGCAGGCGTGTGGGCGGCTTGCATACTCGCTCGGGGCCATAAGGCGCCGGTAGGCAAGCCCGCCCGCACGCCTGCATGTGGTACAGTATAAGCAAAATAAAGGAAGGGGTCTGTGGACCACCCTCTATGACCATGACGCCTTTCCGTTGTTCAGTCGTCAGAGAGCTCCTCTTTTGCGTCGACAATTAGGAAACAATATAATGGCCGAATCCACGAGTGGAATAGTCAATTTAAATTATTGTATAACGTATAAAAAAATTCTCCTATTTTTACTTGCAGCGTCTTTCTCTTATTATTTCTCAACTTTTGATTCCCCCTTGTTCCCCACGTTAAACTTGTGGAAGATGCGCTCGCTCTGTGGTACAAGATGGAAGGCGGTGACACGCGTCACTCGGTGGGAGGGTTCATTATTGAAAATGTCTGTATTGCACCGAACAATGGGGGCCGGAGGAAGGTCCTGAGCCCGCAAAGGTCCGGACCCGACCAGGCCCGACATTCGACACGTCCACGGTAAATCGCTCTGCAGTAGTTTGGAGGTAAATTAAGCAAAGTTTCAAGAATGCATCCTCATTTGGACGTAGATTAACGCACGTGTCTGACGTCCACACTGTATGGACGTATTTGAAAACCGTATAAAGCTGGTGAAAAATCGGTTCACAAAACGTTTTGTAATTTATCTTCTCTGAAGACTGGCCGTTGTTTTCATTAATATATCAAAAAAAATGTTTCTGATTTGTGCACAGGAATTAAGTCCAAAAAAAATGGTGTGATGAATATTACTCCAATCCATGATTTAACGAGTAAGATACCCAGAGAAGTTGACAACCCGCTTGTAGATGATAAGCGGAAATTTTCCTGTTTCCTCACTTCCTCTCAGGGGTGCGTGCCCGTGGCCTGTTGGTCCCCGTCATGGCGGATATGATGGAGACGGAAGTGATATAGAGCAGGCCTGCTTTTGCCACATTTACCAATATTTCCACGGACAGCGACGCGAGTTCCTGAAGAGGGTTTTGTTGCGGATATGAGGTAGGAGGGCAAATATTTTCCCGTTAAAGTAATTAATGTGGCTATATCCCCCCTTCTTACTATCTCCAATAGTCCGACCGACCGTAGGTGAGTGAGAGAGAGCGAGAGAGAGACTTCAGACCGCGCCGCACCGGGTCGCCGGAGCTCCTGAGCGCAACGGTAGCTCAATAGACTGAGGTGGTGTAGGCCAGGCAGACCAGGCGGTCGCGGGCTCGACTCTCGCTCAATCCGTTTTGACTTCTCGCTGCACCAATGGGTGTGAGTGAGACAACTCGCTCTATTCACTCGTGCGGCGGCAGGTGGCCGCAAGCGAATGGCTTTCATTCAAGCAGTTGACGGATTTCGCGCCAAAGTGACTGAGACGGAGCTTTGGATCCGAGATGCACACGACCGCTCGAAAGCGTGTAAGGTGTGTTGCATAGCCTACCTCGCCTGAGGCTCGGCGGCGCTGTGAGTTTGAGGGGCCTGATATAGCTGGGTAATGAATACTACTCCAATCCATGATTATTCGCTTTTTGACTGACTCACAGGACTTTGACGTCCACAGTGAGGTCCTAACAGACACATGCGTTAATTATTACCTCCAAACCATTTGATGTGATGTGGACGTGTCGGTCCTCTTCACCCCCTCAGTAGTTCTAGTTAGGCTGGGGGGCGGGCGGGGGCGGGGTGCCTGCAGTGGCAGAGCGGGCGCAGGGCGGTGGAGTTGACGCACCAGCTGGTCTGGCCGTACGCGTTGAGGCGGCTCACGGAGCCCTCCAGCCACATGCCGTCCGTCCCAGAGTTGTAGCCCACCGTGGCGGAGAAGAGCGCGGCGCCGGGCTCGGTGCGCAGCGTGAGCTGGTACTCCGTGGTGGCGTTGTGCTTGGCGCGCACGAAGGTGGTGATGGGCGGGCCGCGGCGCGCCTCCAGCAGCGCGGCCAGCGCGAGCCGCCAGCACTGCGGGGCCAGCAGCGCGTTCACCTGGCCCACCACGAAGTTGGCCGCGCGCCGCACGCTGCGAAACAACATGATCAGGAACATCAGAGAGGCGCAAATCCAGCACAAAACAGGCATCAGAAAAGAGGGTTGCCCAGAAACAACCTTCGCAGTAGATTTAGTGTAACGCATGAGGGGAGGGGCCCCCGTCGGAGGAGGCAACCCGACATGTCCACGTTAAATACGTCCACGAGCCATTTTCACCAGCCGCACACGGCTCGTAAGTACATCCACACTGTGGACGTAACAATCGCAGGCGTTGATTTACGTCCAAATCATTGGACGTATTTTTGCAAAACGCTTCATTTACGTCCAAACTGTTGTGGACGTATTTACCGTATGGACATGTTGGGTTGCCCCCTGCGTGCGGTAACAGTGGCGCCAAGACGATTTTCGCGAGGTGCAGCAAGCCGGAGGCACAACACCCGGTTATTCCACCCACACCCGGTTATTTCACCAGCCGCACACGGCTCGTAAGTACATCCACACTGCGGACGCAACAATCGCAGGCGTTAATTTACGTCCAAATCATTGGACGTATTTTTGCAAAACCCTTCATTTACGTCCAAACTGTTGTGGACGTATTTACCGTATGGACATGTTGGGTTGCCCCCTGCATGCGGTAAAGTATGCCTACGAAAGTGGGCGTCGTCCGTCGTGCTAGACCTACTCGGGGTCGTTGGTGTCGGCCGCTGTGAGGTGCTGGCAGGCGCAGTAGTTGTTGGGGATCCCCGCATGGTCGCACGTCCTCGTGACAGGGATCGGCGTGAAGAGGCTGATGCCTCGGGGTGGCTGGCCCGCCCGGAAAGCGGCCGCCACGCTGTGCTCGTCCGCGCGCACCCGCTCGTCCTCCAGCGAGCTCAGGTCCATGAAGTTACGGAACGTGCGATGCAGGTCGAACACGGTGACCAGGCGATGCCGGTTGCACTCGAGGTTGTGCATGGCCAGCGGGTACCGGCGTCGCACCCACTCTGGCAGCACCACGTACATGGCGGGCAGCATGTTCTCCATGTGGCCCTGGAAGGTGCTGAGGATCTCTCCGAAGCGCAGCCCGTGGTCGCTCATGAAGACCAGCGCCGTGCTGTTGAGCAGCCCCGTGGCCTCCAGGTCGAGCAGGAAGCGCTCGTAGAAGGCGTCCGCCTCGTCCGGCTGGTTGAGCATGTCGTGAGACAGCGACGTGCCCCAGACCAGCCCGAAGAACTTGCGGCGCTGCACCGCCATCGCGCGAGCGAACTTGAGCCCGTAGTCGAACAGGACCTCGATCTGGTGGCGCTGGCCGATGCAGTAGCACGCGTTGAAACCCCCGCCGCGACCCAGGTTCTTCTCGCCCAGGTACAGCAAGGGCCGCGGGTCGTAGTCGGTGGGCTGGTTGGCGAAGCCGCGCTTGAGGTAGTGGAACAGGCCCATCCACGCCGTGTCCTCGGCGAACATGTTGACGTAGCCCTCGCGGTTGAACTGCTCCCACACCCAGGGGCAGGCGTCGAAGTGCGACGTGTCGTTGGGCCAGCAGGAGGCGCGCAGCTCGGGGATGTTCTTCCCGGAGAGCAGCGGCACCAGGTTGGGGAAGGTGTTGTCCTCCACCTTGTTGTAGCCGCGCATGCCGCGCGCGCCCAGCCGGCCCTCCAGCACGCCCACCGTGCGCTGCATCTTGCGCAGCAGGTTGAGGCGCGAGACCGAGTCGATGCCCAGGATGAGCACGCTCAGCGCGTCCTCGGACGCGTGTTCGCGCGGCGTCACGCCGCCGGGGTGGCCGCGGGGCCGCTTCACCGGGACGAACGCGTGGTAGTCCACGTACACGGGCTTCTTGGCCGTGCTGGACGTGCACGTCACTCGCACGAACTCGTGCGGCACAACAACGGCGCTCTCAAACGGGACGCAGTCCTTGGCAAACCTGAGCACCAAATTTGACACGTTCACATCGCATCGAGTTAAAATACGCGAATGCCGCCCCGGCCCGGGGGCCCCGCCCCGCCCTACCGTATGTCGTTGCCGTGGGGCACGCCGTCGTGCAGCGGGCCGTGGAGGCCGGGGTCGCTCTGCCAGTGCGGCCCCTTGAAGCGCCACATGGCGGTGTAGCAGCAGGAGACGGCGCTGGCGTTGTAGGCGGCGACGAGCCTCGGCTCCATCATGAGGTGGGTGTCGTTGGAGCGCACGAGGGGCGGCGGCTCGGCGCACGTCACCGTGGGGTAGTCGCTGATCATGCTCTCGAGCTCAGTGCTCACCGGCTCCTGGGCGGGGATCGTGCAGCCCGGGGTGTCGAGCAGCCACGGCGAGCCGGCCGCCGGCCGGGTGCACGTCGGGAACCGAGGCACCGAGGTCTCGGGGGCCGTTTCCCAGCCCAGCGCGTGCAAGACTACGGACGGTGATAGTCAGTACAACGTCTTCCATTCCATGACTCTTCTTGATGTAATTTGGACCGTGATTTGACATTTTTAGTCAGAGCGGTACCACGATGACATCAAGAAGAGCCATGATAGACGTCAAAATAAGGGACCAATTTGACGTCATACTGACAGTCAGTGCTCAAATTCCTCCTTGGGGAGAGCTTGATTAAAAGTTAGTGCCTCTGTGAAAGCACGAATGTCATGAACACACCAAGAAGGGTGTTGATTCCTACCTTTGTTTTTCCAGTTACACAAAGTTTCAAAAATAGTCTACACTCAATGATGTTTTTGGACGTAAATTAAAGCGCATGAGCTGTGTAATGAAAGTACTCCAATCGGTGATCATCCATCTATTAGTAATCTCATGCAACAAGACTTTGAGAAAATCCAGAGATAATTTTCAAAATTCTGTTTCCAACGCGTTGTTTAGGAATGTTTTCCCCGCTGTCTAGAGAATTTATCGAGTTCCATAAATCTCACGGTATTGTTTATATGGTTGTAAGGCGTATTTTAGTAAAGGACACAAGGTTTTATGGATCGATTTTTGACAGTCTCACAGGACTTCGAAGCACGTCTACAAATGCGAATGTAACAGACACATCAGGGGCGCCGACACGTCGACTTTTCATTATCCGAAATTTGGGTATTATAAGTCAATGACACTCAATTGCCCACAAATTAATCAGATCTTTGAAAAAAAAAAAAAACAACTCCTACATTCCAATTTACACGTTTTATAATGGGTGGAATACTGGAGAGTTATGTTTCTGTACAAAAGTAAAGCGAGCAAGAACATTTTTTTTACTCCATATTTGAATTTTAGATCAGCTGATGAGAGAAGTACTAGGTCGATTTGGTATATCAATGCAAAGCAACGATAATGATAGAAGTACTTGTAGCTTTTGTAGTATGCTACATTGGAGTTAGTCCACTGTAAGCTGAAGCAACAGAACAACCATAGGGGTTGTGACCGAAGCGAGCGAGAAGCCTGATCCAAACCGTTATATTTTACACCTCAGGATCGATTTAAAGAGGGTTTTTAATCTAATTTTTACCCTTTCCTTTTAATATTTTATTGTCTGTCGATGCCCCCCCCCCCTCCGGTGTCGCTGCCTCTGAGACACATGCATTAATGTACGCCCAAATCATTCGGGCTAAATTTCTGGACGTGTTACCAAAGGGCGAAATTCATGTGGACGGGTGGCGTGTGGGTCGCGACCGTCTTAGTGCGGCGTGACCGCACGGGGTCATCATGTTTTCTCCTTCCGTGCGACAGGGCTGTGCTGACATTTTAAGACGGTCGACACATTTTTGGGGGTGTCTGCCGCTGCTGCCGCGCGTGGCGGAGCGTGGCGGAGCGTGGCGGAGCGTGGCGGAGCGTGGCGGAGCGTGGCACTGCTCCTTTACCGTATCTATGGGACGGCAGGTCATTCTCCAGCAGGCGAGTCTGCGCGAGGACCTCGGCGAGGACGTACAGCCCGTAGAGCAGGCAGAGGCCGAGCAGGAGGCTGATCAATTGCCGCGGACGCACGCCGCGCACGCACGCCGCCAGGCCGCGCGCCCACCGCAGCGGCGACAGCGGCGCCCGGCAGAAGGGGGATGAGGATTTCTGCACCGAGAGAAGAGAGGGAGTGGATCACCCGAGGACACTCGACTCATCTCCGAGAAGCACGCCATCGACTTACCCCGTTTTCCGCCAACAGCGGCCCAGCGTCCATTTGTCGCGGCCTACTGACACCTACAGGTGGGCGAGCAGGTCGAGCTCGCGAGCACTCACGAGTGAGCCTAACTTTGCTCTGATCACCATTTTTGTTCGACTCCCCGCCGGTGGCGTGACGTGTCAGTGGTCGTGGCCGCTAGAGCCCCGTGGCACCCCGCCGCAACAATGTGGACGCCGACGTAGTCCTCCTCGCCGCGGGCAGAGCGGGCAGAGCCGGGCAAGCGACGCCTTGCAGCCCAGCTCCTGTGTGCGACGCGCAAGGGCCTCGCCGTGTGTGCCACACTGTGTGGTTGGCTGGCAGCTCGACCGGCAGTCGCGCCAAGGACTCACTGACGTTGTGCTTGCGCGGGCCACGACTGTGGCCGGGCGCGGCGACCGGCGGGCTGGTCCAGGACACCGCCGGCCCACGTGTGTGTGTGTGTGTGTGTGACTGTGACTGTGTGATTGTGACTGTGTGAGCGCGCGTGCGTGTCACGATAGCGACTGGGATTGGCAATGATTTATCGCCTACACGGCACCTCTACTCATCCCTTTCATCCCTTCCCTTAGGGTTGTTCACGATAACCTATTGTGTAACGACCCCAGTGCGCAGCCTGGCCTAAGTTGAGCCGTGTCGACGCTGACCCCCCCCCTCCCCCCTGCAAAAAAACATAATCTGATTTTTTATTTGTTATTGTCTGATTGAGTCCTTATTTGTACCGTATCGACGTTACAACAATTATCGAATAACGTAAGGGATCATAGATAAAGTACGTCTGTCATTCGCATTGACGAACCTGCCAAGTTAAGCCTGTGAGTGTTCTCATAGTGCCTGATAGGTAGGCAACATTCTGCCTGGAGAGCATGCGTGTACTGCGGGTTGGCCGACCCTGAGTCTCGCAGGCGCCAAACTCCCGCAATTCGCCGAACAAATATGAGCAAAAGCGGACGTACTCTCTGGAAGATCTCTACCGCGTTACATTTTGGCCTCGTTTTGTGATACGATAACTCGTTAAGGTCACGTAACGCGATTCTTTTTTATTTGTTAACAACCCTGCCACACTCCCCACTACAACTTTCTTTTGAGTGACAAGCACAAATGCATGAAGACACGTGGAGAGGCGGTGTTTGGCGCGCACGTTTCGTAGGGCCGTCGTGACCCGACGGTAGCCCAGACTGGGCTGGGCTCGAGTCGTGAATTCCTTTTATCACTTAATGTTTCCAAGCTGCACAATAAACCCCGACCCTGCAAGCTTTGGAAATCGGTATTCGTTTTGTGTAGTAGAGAATACGTACCCAACAAACCGTTATATCAGGTCAAATTTAAGTCAAAAATTAGGCATGTAAAGGGCTATTGGCTATTTTGACGTCAATGTGACATGTTTGACACTTTCGTGACTTTTTTCTGATTGTTGGGTATGTGAAACCGTACATGATGGCCTTTATGCGGTGCTACGCTGGCTCCTGTAACACAATTAAATTTTTCACAAGTTTTACCGCACTCCTCTTTTTTTAAATAAAAAATAAAATAAATCGGAGGTAGAGGAAAAGACGCTGGTGTGCTTTGGTCCTGGTCCACGCTAGCTGCCCAAGCAGTGGCCCGGCCCGGCCGGCAGCCCCCTGCCCCCCCCCCCCCCCTCACAGGAGGAAGGTGATAAGCTGCCACGAACGGCCTTCCCCCCGCCCCCGACTCCATCCAGCCTCCATCACAACATCAGGCTCTAGCAATAAAAGCGCCTACATGCTGCACTCCGAGACCAGCAGGAGAAAACGTATTGCAACCGCAGACAAACTTATTGAGTTTTATCTGTAATGCTGGAAAAATGGTTGGATTGTTGGTATATATAAAAAGTTAGTACATCAAGTGCGGGGCGACTGCAAGGTACAGCAAGGTGGTCAGACATTACTATACAGATGTTTTAGTTTTCGCTTACCTTCATCTCTACTCCCGGTGAGAAATAGAAACGTGGATGCAACGTTGAAATATCGATATGATGATTTGGATTTTTGGGACAAAATGACGTTTATTCGACGATTTCGGCGTCGAATCGACGTTGAAGAAAATTCACTTCTGACTGGGACTTCCCTATAGTGTATTTCGACAAACGGAGGAAGAAGAAGAGCGGGTAGAACATAAAGGTTCCTGATTGGCCGAGCGCTTACCCCCACTACCGGCGTGACGTAGAGGCGGAAAGCTCTCGACCAATCGGTAAAGCGCGCGGTAACGTTTATGTTCTACCCGCTCTTTTTCTTCCCCCGTTAGTTGAAATACACTATTGGAAGCGGCGAACGAAATTTAAAGACATTCCGTACAAAGAGTTTCACACACTAGGTAAGTTTTTCCGGAGCAAACAATTTATCAATTTTACTTCTGGTGACCTTTCATAACTTATGCACTTTTTAAGTATTTAATGTGGGTTAAGAGACCTGAAAATTACCGATTAGAGATTATTATTTAAATAAAGTGTTGTTCCTTTTTGGGTACTTATCGCTGAGCGAAGCTCAGTCCAAGTTGCTGAGGGGTCAGGCGTTGTGTCGGTCGTGAGTCTGTCTGTCTGTCCGTGTCTGCGTTCCTCTTTTTCTCGAAAACGGCTGTACCGATGACGGAATGCGAGTGTGCCTAAACATCTATAATTTAAGGGAAGCCCAGTCTCCCCTTTTCGTTCGCTACGGACTAATTTGAAATATTTGGTTTTTTTTTCCCTGGAGGGAGTTTCAGATGTTGTTGTTTCGGTGGTGGCTACCCTGAGTGGAAAAGAGCGCGAAAACGCAAATGGCTCCTTGCGCCCACTTCGAGACTTTCTGATTTTCTCACACGTGATCATAATGTCAGATGGTCAAACCGAGTGTGAAATTTTTAGTTTTAGAGTTGCGGAACTCGACTTACAAAGTTTCGCCGGTGTCCGGTGAGAATGAACGAAAGTGATATTTTGAATGGTTTACGTAATTACGTACGTAAGTTGGAGGGGAGGAGGGGGTTCGGGTTCGGGAGAAATGTGGAAAGGTAACCATTGTTTCGGGGTCATCTTGACAAAAGAAAACGAAAATGTTTTATGCTCCAAGACGA